ATAGTGGGGTAAATAAGGAAAAAGAAAAAAAAAATAAAAATAAAAAAAAAAAATAAAAAAAAAGAATAAAAAAGACCAATGGTCCTAATAGTATAAGGGAAGAAGGAGAAGGATATATATATCCTTCTTTTTGCTGCAGCAATTGCTGCTGCTGCTGCTGCTGCTGCTTAATATGTCTCCTTATAAGAAAAAGTATAAATATAAATATAATTAATTAATTTAATTAATTATTATTTATTTATTATTTATTTATTTATATTTAGTTGCTGCTAATTAGTCTCCTTTATAAGCAACTAGCACCCCACACACACGGTGCACCCCCCAACTGCAGCAGCAGCAGCAGCAGCAGCAGCAGTAGCAGCAGCAGCAGCAGCAGCAGTAGCAATAGAAAAATAAAGGGTTTATATTGATAGTTTATTGAGTCATGGTAAGTGTCCCCTGCATCCTAGGCAGCAACAGCAGCAGCAGGAGCAGCAAGAAGGGCCATAAGGCAAAAGGAGACAATTTGTCCCCTTAGATAGCTGTTGCTGCACACCGTGTCTGCTGCTGTTGCTGCTGCTGCTGTTGCTGCTGCTGCTGCTAGTGGTGCATGAACGGACACTGTACACAGAGGCAGAGAGACGTAGACAGAGACAGAGAGAGGCAGAGAGGGAAGGAGACAGAAGGGGACAGGCAGGAGACAAACATAGAGAGATAGGGAGACAGAGAGAGAGAGGAGACGGGGAAGGACGGAGGGACAGATAGGGACAGATAGAGAGAGATAAAGAGAGACAGGGATAAGGGGAAAGATAAAGAGAGAGAAAGATATTTCCTCCTGTCTCCTTGTGTCTCCTCCTGTTTCCTCCTGTCTCCTTGTGTCTCCTGCTGTCTCCTTGTGTCTCCTTATGCCTCCTCCTGTCTACTCGTGTCTCCTTATGTGTCTACTCCTTCTTCTGTTCCCTGTCTCCCTTTTTGTTGTGCTGCCTATACACCTAACTGTCTCCTTCCTTAACAAGAGGAGACAGATACCTTAATCATACATATAAAAGAGACAAAGGGAGAAAAAGGAATAAAAGGAGACACTTTGTTTTTTTTCTTTTTTTTTTTTTTTTTTTTTTTTTTTTTTTTTTTTTTTTTTTTTTTTTTTTTTTTTTTTTGCATCTGCATGCAGCCAATGCTGCTGCTTAAGTCTTGATAAAGAAGGAGGCACTAGAGACAGAAAAGGAGACAATAAAGGAGACACTAGAGGCAGAGGAAGAGACACTAGAGACAGAGGAGACACTAGAGGCAGAGGAGACACTAGAGACAGAAAAGGAGATACTAGGGACAGAAAAGGAGACACAAGGGACAGAAAAGGAGACAGTAGGGAAAGAAAAGGAGACACTAGAGACACAAAAGGAGACAATAAAGGAGACACTAGAGACACAAAAGGAGATACTAGAGGCAGAAAAGGAGACAATAAAGGAGACACTAGGGACAGAAAAGGAGACAATAGGGACTCATAGACAGGGGCAAGGAGACACTTCCTGCTGCAGCCTCTAGGGAAGGAGACACGATAAAGGGCAGGGAGAACAAAAGGAGACAGTTGTGTTGCTGCGGTGTATATACACCTCTGTTTGTGTCAGCAGCAGCAGCAGCAAATGAGGCAATAAAGACTAATGAGGCTCAGCTCCTGCTGCTGCTGTGGCTGTTGCTGCTGCTGCTGCTATTGCTGCAGTAAGAAAAATATCTTAAATATGTGTTGGTTAGCAAACAGGGGCCCCTGAGGCCCCCGTCTGCTGGGGGCCCCTTGGGCCCCCAAAAGAGAGACTCTTGTCTCTCCATATACACCCTATAAAGGGTACAGGAGAAAGGAGACAGCAAAAAGGAGAAAGGAGATAGCATGCTGCTGCTGCTGCTGCTGTCAGCATGCTGCTGCAGTTCTTTAAATGCATAGATCCACCGCAGCAGCAGCAGGATAATAATTACCATACGCTGCTCTTTTTAGTAACAATATCCGGCAAAAGAGAGGCAGCAGCAGCAAGATTATTATTAGTAAGTGTCTCCTTTGCTGCTGCTGCTGCATCTGCTGTCTCTAATACATCTAATATATCCTTAGAGGAAGAAGAGGAGACACTTTTTTTATTAATTAATTGAGGAGGAATATAAGAAGAAGAGGAGGAGGAGGAGGAGGAAGAGGAAGAGGAGGAGGAGGAGGAGGAGGAGGAGG